CATGATTTAAACAAAAAGCAATAGGATCAGTTTCCCAGACACGGATTAAGACCAGCCTAAGCTTTTTTTAACTCAGAGAGTTTAATTAAAATGTGCTTTTATCCCAAGACGAGGGTTAATCCGAGTCTAGCTATTGTGTCCGATAAAGGGCAGGTTAATGAGATTTAGAGGAGCAAGTAGACAGATAGAGTTATCTTTAGGCAAAGACACTGGAGCTGTTTTTAGATTGCCTTCTTTAAAATAAATTAAGTTAAGAAGCTGTTATATTCTTTACGAGCAGCAGCTGATCTTTTTTTCAAGGAAAAACAACATAAAAAGCCACTTATACAGCAATAATAACAATAATTTTAAGTAAAAGCAACAAAGTGGTGGTTCTCTGTTAGACCAACAAAACCAGAATACTGAACTCCCTTGAAGACATATTTGATATGTAAAAATGTGATTTAGGGTAGTATGTAGTAACATTTATTTGAGTTAATTAAAAAAAAATTTAGCTTTTAGGAATTCATTTTACATTAGTTCAACTTCACTGTACTTTTTACTTTTACTTAAAGAGGCCCATTACAGAGTTTTCTAATGATACTATATATTTTACAACAGGGTAACATACCTCTAGTGACAATGTCCACTGTTAACTGTGTTATAGTTTCACATACAAATATTTAAGGCTTAGGAGAAATAAATTAAATGTTGACAACCCCCCCAACTAATTGTAAAATAAACTTTAAGTTTCAATTTGTGTTTAAAGCATTGTTACATAAAGCAAGTTTGTTTTTCTTTTAGTAAAGTTACCCAACGTTGGTAGAGTAGCCAAAAAGTTTTACTGAACTAAGAGAGAGATTATTGAAAATCATTACCCAGTAAAACTACACTTAAAACTATAAAAGCTCTTTTTTATGGGAATGTTAAGGAAACAGCATGGTGTTATTTGCACTTACTGTAATTATACAAACCAGTTCAGACAGATTCCTTCTAGTACATTAATGGGTAGTGGACCCTTTTCACTTGTGATATTTCATTCTGTGATCGCTGAAAAAGCAACAGTCTTATTTAAACTCCCCGAGTTAATGCAAAACATTAAAACATATCCATAAAGCTAAAGCCATTAGCTGCCATAGAGCATAAAAATGTGTGCTGAAAATGTTTACTCTGTAACACAACATCTCCTATAACTCCTTTTAAAGGTGTGTATTCATGCTGGTTAGAATAGATTATTTTATTGTTCTGGATGGAGAAAATGAAGAAAAACTGAAGTTTTTTTTAAGTAAGCCTGTTTGATGACCTGCTTTCTTTTTTAAAAAGATCACCCCAAAGATTCTCACCGCAAAGATTTGGCTGAAGGCCCCAATGGAAAATTATGCAATCGGCTGAAAGAAGAGAAATGCTCTTTTGGTTCGTTGTGTAGGAGGCTTTGCATGTGAGTGAAGAGTGCACTTAAAAGAGCACGTAAAACACCCTCCACAGTTATTAACAATCCTTTTCAAAATGGAAAAAAAAGCTTGAGATAAAATAACCTTTTGTTGGAGTGGTTTTAAATCCCAGTAAATCCACACTATGCTATCCAATTAGAAATAAAACCCCTGGTTATATATATAAAAAAGTTTTTATATTTTATCTATATTATATTCATTTTATTAATGTATTTTTCTTAAAATATTAGGTATTGATGAAGATTCTCATTCATCCAAGTCATAGTGAAACCAAACAACCTCTCCACAGAGAGACCCAGCGGGGAATCTACACCTTAAGGACAAAAGACATTCTTTTGAGGACAAGAATGTTCACATTTTGGACAAAGAAGGCAAGTGGTTTAAAAGGGGTGTGAAGGAAGTCATTTACGAGAGAAGAACAACCTTAAACAGAGGGGGTGGATTCAGGTTTCAGATCTCAAAAACCTACAACGCAGCGATAGAGTTGATTCCTTCCTGCTATCATGATATTCATCCCCATGCAGGGGAGCAAGACATCCTGCCTGGTCAGCCAGGCCAACAATGACCCTAACGACCTCCCTTTTCAGAGGCATAAGCCAGTATCTGGTGTTGCAGGCTAACAAAGACCTTAATGAATCCCCATTCATAATGGGTGGACATGTTCTTCCGGTTCAATTTGCATGTTTTCGAAGCCAAAGCAAGGCTTTGTTGCGCGACTCTATAAAGCCTCAAACTCAACGCTAATTCTGACATCTTGAACGTAAAAAGCTTCCTGGATGGGAAGTGAAACATCTCCAAACTTGGAAAACAAAGACCAGAGGTTTGTTTTTAACTTTTTTCTGGAAATACTAGTTATCTAGTTATCAACAGTATTTGCTTCATGTTTGCCACACATTGCAGATTTAAGGATAAACAAAGAAAATGTGTTGATTTTTTTCTCTTTTTTTCCTCTTTGTTGTTAAATAAACATTTTCTGTTTTATGGCAAATTTTTGTCAAAAGATTCTTGAGAAGCTCTTGTTATTTCAGAGTCCACGGTGCCATACCCTATACCAGTCTCCCAGGTCTTTTTGGCGAGATCAAGCCCACATTATAATAGTTCCTCCACCAGACCTAACACTAGTTTTGGGGTGATTTATTTTACATAAGAGTGGAATAGAATATATATTTCCTAATGTTCCACTGTGGTGTAAATCAGAAAAAAAAGAATAGAATGCAGTGGGGAAGTTCAAAATTTCCTCTATTAATAACCCACTGAATAAAAAAAAAAGCCAAACATCAAATAGATTTTTATACACAAAAGAAAATGTTTTAAGCCTTAATCTCCAGCTTTGCAATTTGACTATTACTTGCAGATTATAAAAACTCAAAAAGTCTTGGTGAATTAGTGCACTGTTCGTCATTACTATGTACATAGAAAGTTGAGCGAAAGGAAAAAATGAGATAAGAAAGGGTGTTCGACAACAGTTTAAGAGAATTGGAGATCAAATTTGTTCAAGACTGTGAGGAAGCTTCACATGGAGTGAAGAGAGGATGGAGTCAGAACATCAGGAGCCATTAATTACGGACGGATCTCACTGATACAGATGTTCACAGTTCACCCAGAGACAATGTCAGAGTCATCTTACCTAATCTGAGAGCGAATAATAATCTGACTGTTGGTTAGCCGTAAAAAGTCCTGTTTTCAGATGAAAATAAATACTTCTTTTCATTTTAAAACAAAGTTCTCAGAGTTTGGAGAAAGAGCAGAGAGAACATACTAACATACTCATCTACCTGGATATGTTAGGGCCTTCCACCTCCAGGACGTGGCGTCTGCTCACACAGCCAAAAGAATCAAAATGACCAAGATGTTACAGCTCCTGACTGGCCAGCAAACCATTTCAATATGAGAGATATTAGAATCATCAATGCAGAAAACAAGAAGGTAGCAGTCTAATCAACCTGGCCTTCTATAAGACGCCATCATTGCCACACATGCAGAAATTCAAGCAAAAGGAGCCCAGACTAAACGTTAAGTGCATTGACATGAACCTACTATTTACAAGTCTGGCATTTCTGTTTAAAGTTTCCCCTTTGGTAATTTTTTATATTTCTAATTAACATTTCTAATTTTAGGTTTTCACAATCTGTTAACGATAATCAGCAGAATTACTAGAGGTAAAGGCTTGAAATAGTTCAGAGAGACAGAAAGAGACAGAGATAAAATGCTTGTTACAGAATAAAAAATAAACTAATCAAAAATGTTATCTGACCCAGCTCACAACTATCTAAAGCCCTCCCTACAACTTAAGCAAACTCCATAGATTTATACCTGTGCTTTTAGAATTAAAAAGCCTTTTTTTCCTGACATACCACCTAAGTAAATGCTTAGACTATAGCCAGCGTTAAATTAATGTCATAGGAACTTGATCCAAACATGTAACTCTTTGGTGCAGGTTAATAGTCTGAGCTTTGTAGACACTGCAAACCACTGTGCATGTTGGCAAGATAAAACTGGCAGTTTTAGTGTTGCAGCTTTATTGTACATTGAAGAGGAACAGCAAATATTACCTTTGGAACCTCTGGTCTAGACAATATGATCAGCTTGAAAAATGAACTAACAATTATAATAAAAAAGAAACAACTCAGCTGCAGGTATATGGTAGGTCCTAATCATTGTAGCATTTTCCTTTCTTTTTCAGATACTAGTGTTACTTTGCAAACTAAATTAATGCATCTCAGTTGAAAATGTAACTTTCCCTCTTTCTCAGTATCATAGTCGTCTATACCTACTCATCCTTGTACGGTAAAGAAGGGTTGATGCATATTTTTATTGATTTTTCAAAGACGAATAAAGGATTCCATTATTTTATAATACTTGACTGCATTACTAAAAAATTAAATACATAACTCTTTCTTTTTTATTTTGAACGACATTTAGCTGGCAACAAACACTGGGAGTTGGAATCCAGTCTGGTGTAGTTTCCAAACCTATCATTGCATTTTCATTACCACATGACACGCATTTGGAAATTGCTTAATTGAGTTTATGAAGCTCTATCCATAACTCGTTTTTATAAGCTCTTTATTTTTTGGTACAACAGGTGATCTGCTCTTGCAGAAGAAGCAGCATATCTCCATCTGGCTGACTAACAGCAGCTCATGCACACTGGAAAAACAATCTAGAAATAAGTTAAACATTTCTTAAATCAACTGTATTTTCCCTTAATTTGAATAGGTAAATGAGATAGTTTGCCAATGGAATGAGTATTTTTATTTAAAATAAGATAATTAGATAACATACACTTGAGAATCCAATTGTGTTTTCTTATTTTAAATGTAAAATGTCTTGTTCCATTTGCAAAATGTCTCTTTTTCTTCCTCAATCCAAGAACAAATGCACTTATTTAAAAAAAAAAAAAAAATTACTTATTTAGATTTCGTTTTTTTTTTTCAAGCTTTTTACCAGTCATTAAAGTGGGTCAATGCAGAAGGAGGGGGCAGGAAAAGGACACAGAAATCTAAAATGGATCACTAAAATGCATGAAAGCGTAGCTCGTGACAAGAAACAAACCACCAGATCAGTCGGTTTTCAGTAAGATGTCATTTTTATTGCACATTCGTCTTGCAACGACCTTTCACCTTTTGAACCCTTTAAGACTTCGGTCTCCCAAACACTCTGGCCGGGAATCGGACAAAGTTGCTCAAAGTAACTAATCCCAGGTCGGATTCCCTTGAGAAGTTAGATTTGAAGCAGAGGGAGTCCAAACTGATCCACGATCTGTTACACAGAGCGCATAATGTCCAGGCTGTGTTGACTGCATTACCCTCGAGCCAAATTAGTGTATAGATTAGGACCATTGGGGAAGGGACAGCAGTTAAATTACTAACAGGACAAGAAAGTATTCCCAGGAGTGAGAGGATGTGTTGCACTCCAACAAAGCCATATTTTTTATAATTTAAAGTCTTTGCGCCCTGTAACCACTTCCCCAATCAAAACACACCTTCTCCCATCACATAAATACAGAAGCTATCTTTTTTTTTGTTTACTTTTTTTTTTGTTTCTTCTCATTTTCTGGTGACAGTCCCTGCAACATGCTTCAAATCATCGTTTTGGCAAACCACAAATAAATAAAAACACAAACATTCATATAACACAATGTGACATTTGTTTTCAGGACATTTAGAAAGAATGAGAAGGTCCAAACAGTACAGGACTAAAAAAACAAACAAACTGTATTAATATAAATAAAAAAAAGGAAGAGAGAAGCATTTGCACTTTTGTTTTCTCTGTTTTTCTTGCTTTTCTTGAAAAAAAAACAACGATATACAGTCGCTAGCTACCAATCACGTATCACATGCAGATATATTACAAATAGTCAGTTCACCCAGTTAGTTTCTGCAAACTACCAAGTCTAAACTATGTCACAAAAAAGGTTTGTCTTGGAACCAGCAAACACTCAGCTTTAAAGATATTCAGTCATAACGATTATTCAGATTACAGTTTTCCGCTGATGTTTGAACCTGAAATGAGCCAAACTCAAAGAAGCACTAGCACGCTTTTAAACATGATCACATACCAGATGGTTTGTTGCCTTTCTGTCTCTGTTGCCATTTTTTTTTTTACATTAAAAGGAATTTAACAGGCTTGTTTCTTCACAGGAATTTAAAATTGGACGCACCACTAAGCTAAATTAAAAAGATTAAAAAAAAAAGGGATTACGGACAGAACTGCCTCGCTCGGCTGGCAGAGGCTAGCGACGATATGTCAAAGCTGAGCGGGAGGCCTCCACGTCCTCCATCCTCCTGCTCTTTTCTAATGACGTTCTGCGGAAATGTCAGACCAATTAACAGCGTTTCCTCTGACATTTACCTGGGTTGTAGCAAAACAAACTGGACCGGACAGACAGACACTCCGCCCAGAGAGCCGATGACTGATAATGTTGGCTGTACGCTTGATTTTCGACATCTAGAATCTCCTTTCAAAGGTTGGAACTCAAATACTCAAACTACAGGTACAGCAAATAAAACCCGCTGCTCATCAGTTTTGCAAAGCCAGCTGACATTTTCTCAAGAGGAGGCTGCAGTGATCAAGGCGTTCCCTATTCTCCCTATCCTCCTTCTTCCCTGTCACATCGTCCTTTTCCCCATGCTGCATCAATCAGGAGTTCTCTAAAGCCTTCATTTAAAGCAGCACTCCAGCTCACATTTGGGGGTGTTGGCATCTCTGTGAAGTCAAACCTGTGTGTGTCTGCAGCTAAAGAGACATACAGTTACAAATGCAATCCTGTTTAAAGGAATGACGCAGATATTGTCATTTCTTTAAGCAGGTAGCTAAAGAAACAGCACTCCCTTCAGGTCATGGTGTCATTCACAGTTAGCCACATGTTTCATCGTTTAAAGGGTTGGTTCGTTATAAACACGCAGACACTGAGGCCCGGCCTTCAGCGCGTCCATCTGGTATCTAAATCATGGGAATTAATAGCTTTGTTCCCCTCATACAGACAAGCTGACATGAGAGTGTAGAGAGAACAGAAGAAGGTGACTGTCATTATGTTTATCATACAGAATTTCTCCATAAAGCAACTTGTGACTTTTTTTTTTTATCCATCTAAGCAACACTGAGCTCTAAGTTTAGCCACAAGAGAAGGAAAAAGAGAAACAAAGCGAGTCAAAGAAGAAAGAGTAAGAGCACAGCTCCGTGTAAATTACAATCTTCATGTTGCATTGAACCGTGAGCAACGGCACAGTCAAAAGCTAAGGGAAAAAAAAAACGAAATAGAGAACGAGTGAGTGAGTATAAATGCCACTGTGCTGCCCTACTATTAAACATTAACAGCTTCATTTGTATTTAAATGACCCGAGAGCTGCACAAATGGTTGAATGTAGCCGGTTTAGTGCGACTGGTGAGAAAGATGAGTCTTCTTCATTCAGTAGTCTTTAACATGGGTGGAAAAAAAGTTCGCATATCCAATTTGTCTGAGTGTACGTACATTGGCGTTTGCTAAAAAAAAAAAAAAAAAAGAAAGAACAGACCAACAATAATTCCAGTTGTAGTGACACACATTCCCAGCTGATCTCTTATGAGGTAACATTCATACACAAACACGCTCCTCTCGCTCTTCTACACCACGAGAAAGAATCCCTTGGCAAGAAGGTGAAGAAATCAAAAAACAAAAAAATGAACTCCCCGCACCACCAAAAACGAAAACAACAAATGTCATTTCTGTAGTTGTGTGGTGACAAAAACAATGAAAAAAAAAATATCTTGAGTGAAACAGCCAAAAGTGAAAATGCGATACTTTTGAGTTAGCGTGGTGTGTTGTTTTGCACGTAGAGGGTAGCTCGTTTCGTTTTGTTGTTTTTTTTTTTTCTTTCCCCCTCTGGCTAGGACAGGTGTTGGAGCGATGGCAGCTGGACACCTAGCCGTCGGAAATGGGCGGGGACACCCAGCCGTACTTCTCGTGGGTTTTCACCAGGGACTTGAATGTGGCCTCAGCTTCTTTACGACTGAAAGCTTTCTTGGACTTTCCTGCTTTCCTGCAAATACGGCCCTGTGAGACATGGAGGCAAAGAGGAAAAGAAATCAGAAAAACATTCTCTAACGAAGTTATCACAAATAATTACAATAGATTTAATTAAGAAAATGATTCATGACATTTGCTCTAACTATACAAGGCAGCCATTTTGGACCATAAGGGCTCCCCCTTATGAATAAAAAAACAAGTTTAAACAGCTTCTTGCAACTTAGAAGTAAAAACAAAATGTAACACATACTTCAATCGAATCTTTTAGTCAATCAAGGAGGAGATAGAGTAGTTTTTTAGTTTTTTTTTAGCGCTTTATTTGTTTTAATTAGACAAAATTCCCAAAGTAAATGTCTAATTTAAAATCCGGGCACTGTGGTACCAAAATGTCAAACTTTAAAAGACTTTTTTTTTTAGAACAACAATTCAGATTGTGAGTAAAACTATATATATTTTGCTAATGAGGAGCACTTTACTGACACAGCAAAATAAAGATTACTGTATTTATATTTCTAAAGATTTTTTTTTGTTTTTTACACAACCTTTCTGAAGGAAAGGTAGTAAAAGAAAATTAAACAGAAAATTAAATTGTCTCTTTGTCTATTGGTATTTTAAAGAATTCCTGTTAAGAACAGGCATAAATAGTCTGAGATTATAATGTACAGATGAAACAATCAATCAATTGTAGTCAAGATTTCATTAAAATAAGCGAAATACCCCTTTATTCCAAAATGGGTAAGAATCTCAAATTATATCTCAACTTATATACATAACTACAATTACACTTTTCTAAAATGTACTCCTGTACTCTCTCCATTGACTGGAACATTTTATTTTTGTGTGTTTGTTGTCCTGTGGTTGCATGGCACCCTGAAGGGAGAGCCATGCATCTAACCTGACTCCGCTAGAAGGATTTGCTCCGCATATCCATCTGGAAACCTTCCGTTGAAGTAATTTTGGGAAGGGGCGAAAATACTGGTTAGCTGATTGGCCTATGTTGGTGATAGATGAGCCAAATAAACCAATCAGATCAACGAAGCATATGACGTACTAACAGCCAGGCTACTGCTGCCGAAACCAGTCGGGAGAAGAGTAAAAACATCTTTTCCTCTGAGAAAAGCCTCCAGAGCAGTGTTTTGCTCTTCTTTCAGTGAAGAAATACTAATTCCGATAAAACTTGCTTGATAGCCACGCTAACGCTAGTTTCATGTGTTCTTAAGGCTGAACTGTCGCGCTTCTCGTTGCGTCACACCTCAAACCGCCTCAAAGCCAACGCTGATTGGACGTTCGTTTGGTGAACGGCTCCAAATTTTCTTCAACGGAGAGTCTCCAGACTGATTAGTGAGTGAAATCTTGAAAGCTCGCGAGATCAGGATGGTCTCACGAGGCTACCATGACTCCTCCAGTGCTGTAAATTAATAAAAAAATAACAACCAAATGTTCGATTGATTTTCATCTTTAGTGAGACAAGCTGAAATATAGGCTAAGCTTTGGAACTGGCATTAATTGAGAGGAGGAAGCTTTCACTTGAGACCCGCTCTAATTCTAGGGTCTCAGAATCAATGAGGTTTTACATATAGATCTGTTACTGAGATTTAACTCAGTGCTTAATAAGTATTGTCATGATTGATTACAAGTTCAATCTATTTAAATTTTTAAAAGATTATCTGTTTATCTTGACATGTCAGAAAACGATAAAATAATGGTGAAAAGATTAATAATTTTAAGGTTTAAAAGGGAGAAGAAGCTTAGCGGTGATTGCAAAGTTTGTATAATGGCACAGATTCAACCTTTAAAAAACAAACTCATAAAGAAACTCAAATAATTTGATATAACTTCAAAGAGCTGCTCTCGTGAAAACATCAGCATTTATCCTGCAAGTCAAAAAAGAAAGATGGAGATGGCTCCTTTGTTTAGCAGTGTTATTAAACTCCTACTGGTAAAACAAACTAGATTTACAAAGCTAAAAAAACCCAGCCCACACATGCACATTGATGAAGTTAATGGCAAATGTACTGCCGGGGGGGAGATGTTGACAGAACGAGTGGTCTGAACGCAGGCTGACCAGGGTGAGATCAATGTTTAAAGGCAGAGAAAGAGCTTTTAAGACGTCAGGTTCAATCAGAAGAAAAAAACGCACCCTGTAGGACGAAGAGAGAAGGAAAGTCTAGAAGCAGCAGTGGTGTCAAAAGTACACACATTTGTTACTTAAGTAGAAGTATAGATACTGCAGCTTAAAAACACTCTGGTAAAAGTAGAAGTATCAACTTGACCTTATTACTCAAGTAAAAGTGAAAAAGTATGTGCTCCAAAAACTACTTAAAGTATAAAAGTATAAAGTAAAGTAATTTTTCGACTATTTCAAAAAATTCTTTGAGAGAGGGCCAAGGATGAGGGAGGTCTTGTTGGTCTCTGTCTCCATCTCCCGATACGCTCTTGCCTGTGTCCGACCTTTCAGACATTTAGACATGTTTTTCTGAATCCAACATTGCAGCATGGCATAGACAATTCATCATCCAATTACACTAGTTTTCGCTAGATGTGGATGGCACCAATGATCTGCATTGGATGGCGCACATGACGTGAAATATATATTTATAAAAAAAAACATTAAAGAACGGGTAACTAATAAAAAAATCAGTGGGGTCCGAATAAAAAAATCAACCAGTAAATGTCAGGAGACATTTTTAATGATCTGTTACTTTAAACAGAATTTAACACTGAAATAAAATGACGTATTTATGCATTCATGTTACTTTGAATTAAAAAAAAAAGATGAAAAAATAAAAATAGAAACTGCCAAATATTGCATCCTGTTCTATCTGAGAGGAGTTTACACTTGTATGACTGTATTCCTGTACATCCATCACTAGTTAAAAGACAAAATTCAGCAAATGCTAATTCTGCCCTGTAAAACAATGACAGTGCAATCGTCGCTGTACGATCTGAAGCCTCATTTGGAGATTTTAAACAGGCTTTTGAAAAACTTTGATAATTTGCTGCTGTAATATTAAAGATATTTTTTTAGAATAAAAAACTAGCAGATGTGAATAATCAAAAAAATAACAGAAATACAATTATAGAGCATTCAGTATTGTAGGAAAGCCCACACTGTTTCTGAATAAATACATTATTGTATGAGTTAAGTTCTGTTCCATTTATGTCTCTTTCCTTGTAAGTGTGAAATGTCCCATGCTCCTGAATGCACCATAGCTGTCTGACGCTCGCGAATGCATCACACTGGTGTGTGTAGATGCGCGTTTGATTTTCAGTTGAAGACAACGCTTTGCATTATTAAAACCCACGTCGGCTAATCGCTGTTTATTGTTGTGTGTGAATAACAAGAGATTACAACAAATACATCAGCTTTACCTCGGACAAAATCTTTGGATTTAATGTTGTTCATAACATCGCAGTCCGCTAATCCGTGACCTCTGCTTTAAACCGAAGTCAAGAGTAACGAGTAATGTTTGTTTAAAAAATGTAATGAATAGAAAGTAAAGATACTTGTGTGAAAATGTAATGAGTAGAAGTCAAAAGTAGGAGGAAAAATAAGTAATGGAGTGAAGTATAGATACCTAAAAAGTGTACTTAAGTACAGTAACGAAGTATTTGTACTTCGTTACTTGACACCTCTGAGAAGCAGTCACTGCATTAAATGATGAAAAAGCCATACATATGGCAGAATGAGCACAGAAAACTCTCTTAGTCACTGCAAAAAGCATTGCATCATCTGACTGATCCATTTTCACCTAGGCAACTGGACCCCTTCCCACACAGGGCTAATAATATACATGGGATACGATGAAGGGAGACCTAAAGACAAGAATGAAGCTGAATAATAAAAGCTGCTTCTTCTGGTATTATCTGCAGTAAGACTTCCCTAAAGAAGCCTGCGTGGGAGGGTGAAAACAAAAGGAGACAACTGTCTTCTTGCTGCTAGGAGACATCTATGGCCATGACAACAAAGCTTTGATTCATACCGATGGCTGTAAATGTTCACAAATAAGAATCACCTCTAAAACTCTGCAGCACTGGAAAATAATCCCACATTACGGCAACTCTGTCCCTCCCAGTTATTCCTCAAAAAGGCCAGAAATGTAGCATTTCCTTTCCCCAGCCAGAACTAAAATAGGTTGGGCTATTTTCTTTTTCATGTGCATTGTATTTGCTTGAAAGGAGCCTCCCTGCATCGTTTCTGTTCACCAAGCATGTTTTCTTGGCACTGAGTCTTTGCACCGAAACCAATACTAATGAAATCTCCTTGGAGGTTAGGTCCTCTGCATGCTGCAGTGCAGTGCGGCACAGAGCAGCAACCCTGTATCATCACACATCATCGCACCATCACTGGTCTGATGTTTTTAGGAGTCAAGAAAAGAGACAACATTCCAAACCAACTATCCAGGACTTTGTCTAAGTGGAGGTTATGCTATAGTTAGTGCTCTTTCAAAGACGGATTTACTAGACAACTAGTGTTTGTCTTAAAAATATGTATTATATAATACATAATCATGACTAAGACTTCCACTAAACAGTGAAAATGTGATAAATTATTTTATGAAGATACGTTTTTTTTCCTGTAAAATGTTTGCATATTTTGTTTTGTCAATTGAGTATAATTTTCAGAAACAGGTTCCAGACTAAAAAAAAATTAGCATAATCAATCCTTGTGTTTTCTTTAGATGATCAGCATCCTCCATGTACACTACCTTTTCTGGTCCTCAGATCTATATAAAAAAGAAAGTGTAAATTAACCTGAAAAGTTCCACTACATCATCCATATCGTCCGGACTGAAGGTGGTATAATAGTGGAACAATAATGCATGAAAATTTTGGGGAAAAAAAGGTTGCATGCAAACCATTCATAAAAAAAATATTATTATTTCAAATAGCCATGAATGCTATATGTAATATGTTCCCTAAATCAATCAATCAATCAATCAATCAATCAATCAATCAATCAATCAATCAATCAATCAATCAATCAATCAATCAATCAATCAATCAATCAATCAATCAATCTATCT